TATATATATATATATATATATATGGGGGTACACACATGCCATGGTGCTCACGTGGAAGACAGAGGACAACTAAGGGAGTCTGTTTTCTAAGACCTGAGGCCTGAACTCAAGTTGTCAAGTTTGGCCAAAAGCACGTTCACCCACTGAGCCGCCTCGCTGGCCCCAACACTGTATTTTTAATAACAGAAGTAGTTGTCACTACTTGATAATGCCATCATTTCGAGTCCTTTGTTTGACCCAGCACAGCAGAGGTGCCAGTCCCATGAGCCTCTCGCAGTCCGCCCCATGACCGCCCCCTTTCTTCTTGCTCTGATGCCTGGCAGGTGTCACTCCAGCCCAGGGAGGGCTCCTGAACCTGAACAAGATGATCAGGAAGGTGACTGGGAAGATACCCCTCTTCTACTACTGGCCCTATGGTTGTCACTGTGGAATTGGTGGTAAAGGACAGCCCAAAGATGCCACAGACTGGTAAGCCCTTCCCAAGCCCACCTGGGATTCTCTCCTTGCTTCTGTGTCCACAGATTCATTTAGTAAACACATTTCATTGAGCATTGCTGATACAGTCTCAGTTCCCCTGGAGCTGGACTTCTAGAAGGTTCCCTAGAATCCCTGAAGTCCTAGCCTCTTCCTAATCTGATTATGATGCTCCCAACTCCGTTACCTTCACAACAACCTTGAGAGTCAGCCAGAGAAGTCACATGACCTTGGCTGAGTGGGTTGACTCCCAGAGTATATTTCATCATCTGTGAAGTCGGGTAACACTAGCACCTCCATCACGGGGGTGCTCACGGGGATTAAGAATGTGTGGAGGAAACGTAGGTGCCTGGTGCATGGACATCCCTGGTCGATGTCAGCTGTTGTGACCTCAAGGGAACCTGGAGCCCAAAGGCCTTCGATCCTCCCAGGTGGGCACATGGGTGGAGCAGATAACAGAGTAAGCTAGTGACGCATGCAGCTGTGGGCCCTGCCTGCCTCACCTACTGTCCTCCTCTGTCACCACCCTCAGGTGCTGCCAGAAACACGATTGCTGCTATGACCACCTGAAGACCCACAAGTGCAGGGCCATGATGGACAATTACAAATACAACATTTCCCGGGGCGCTGTCCAGTGCTGTGAGTACCCCAGGCTCGGGGCAGGAGCTGGGGTGTTCTGGCCCTCCCTGCCTCCACAGACTCAGGGGCGAGACATCAAGTACTTGATTCTGCTCCTCTCCCCAGCAGTGGCACAGCTGGGCAGTGAAAGACAGACAGGAAGGGGAGTGGACCAAGGATTATCCCACCCTTGTGGTGTCTAGAAGCCAGGACTGAGCAGCTCTGTGACCTGAGCGCATTGTTTAACTTCTCTGAGCCTCTGTGTCCTCCTCAGTAACCTAACCAACATTACCGCAAGAACTAAACTGAAGTCCCAGGAGAGACCTCACAGGATGCCAGCCACTGAGCATTCTCTCAATGAGCCCCATTACTGATTTCCCTTCATCACTCCTGGTCTCACAGTAGCCCAATGAGGAGACAGAGAAACCCGAATCCTCCCCTCTTCATAGTCAAGGACACCCAAACGAGAGTGGAGATGTGTTCCCAGGTCACACAGCTTCAGGAACAGGCCCTGGGCCCTGGGGTTTGCTGTGCCTCCAGAAGAAAAGGGAACAGATCCCAAGGCTGGGAATCCAAAGAGCTTATGACAGCAGGCACTGTTTACTGGGGACTTGATAATAATCCAGCATTTACTGAGTGCCCCCAGTATACTGAGTGCTTTGATTTCTCAATTCTCACACCAGCCCCCTCTGCAGTCATTGTCATGATGCCCATCTTACAGATGATGAAACTAAGGCAGGTGGTCCCTCCCACCTGGAGGCTGACACAGATGCTTCATCTGCTGGGGACACTCACACCCCACCCCAGTTTTCACTAGAGTAGACCCTAAAGATCTCAGCTCACATGGGTCCTTGATACTGCCTTGCCCTCCTGCAGCTCACATCTCCCTTGCTTCTGCTCGGCCCCATTCATTCGTTCATTCTGGGGCTCTCTACTCCCACCTCCCCACTCATCTGATTGGCTCAGGCTTCTCCTTCCAGGACCAGCCCCTCAGCAGGTGTTCAATAATTGCTTAGTGAATGGATGTGATGCTAAGTAACAAGGCAGGTGTGTGCAGAGAGGAGGACAACCCCACTGTCAGGGAGCTAGAATCAGAGCATCTAAGTAGGTATGGGGGGGTCTCCAAAGTTGAGTGGGGACTGAGCTGTTTCTAGAGACCCCTGGGTTGTCTCAGAAGGGGACAGACACTGAGCCATCCCCACTTCTTTCACCCACAGCTGACAAGGGGAGCTGGTGTGAGCAGCAGTTGTGTGCTTGTGACAAGGAGATAGCCGAGTGCCTGAAGCAAAACATCGACAGCTACAACAAGCGCCTGCGTTACTACTGGCGGTCCCATTGCCAGGGCCAGACCCCTACATGCTAGGAGAGCCTGCCCATCCTGGCCTGTCTGTCCCCTGGCATCTATCCCGGTCCAGGCCATCCAGCCCCAGTGTGTAGCCACCTGGACCAGCTGGTTTTTAAAGCCCTCCCTGGGTCAAGGGGCCTTGGCCTCTCCCTCTGGGTCCCTCTGCCCTCAAGCCCTCTACCAGGGCTTGGCCTGCTCTTTACTGCCTCCTGTGTTTGCTCAGAGGTGTCCCACAGCAATGAGGGCCCCCAGGGGTGGGAATGGGGGTGGGGGTCCCCTCTGGAACAGAGGCCTCCCCTGCCTGGCCCTTCTCCCCAGTCCCAAGGTGCTGGACCATCTAGGTGGTACAGTGCCCTGAACTTCTCTTGAGACCAGGGCAGTAAGATGTCCCAGAGGCTCCAGTCCCCTCCAGGTTTCATCACATCCTGGGCCTGGCCTGCTTTCCTGCTTCCCTGGAAATGTTTCCCAAAGAGCTCTCTCAATAAACCACTGGCACAAGAAGCCTTGCCTTGGGCTCTGTGCTGGGGAACACACTGCAGACTGGTAACATTTACGGATTTCTGACCCAGGCTGGGTTCTTCCTCCCTTTCCTGGACCGAAAAACAAAACATAGAAACAATTAAGCAGCCAAGGAAAGCTCATCCTGGAAGGAAATCAGGAGGTTCAAGGAATCCCTGGAAGATTAAGTTTCCATCCAAAGATTTTGGGGGGGAGTAGGGGAGGGGATTCATCTTTAAAGGAAGGGAGATGGGTGGGGATAAGTGTTGAAGGGGAAGATTATTCATGAGCTCTCCGGGGTAGCAGCTATACAGGGTGGCCTTTCTAGCTCAAACCAGTTCAGTCCACTTTCCTCTTCTCTACTGCAACTGGGAGCCCTGCGCAGCTGGTTTGTTTGGTACATTGTCTCACACAGAACACTGGTTGTCAAAAGGGCTGTCCGTCAAGAGTCTTAGCTGGTATTTGCCTGGTAACAATACCTTTTAAAGAGGACCCATGGCCTGTCATTCCTGGGTCATTAGCTGTGTTTCCAGACAGGGGGCCAAGACACCTCGAGCCACCTACACCTTCCAGTCTGTGGCACACTTCAGGCAGTGAATGACCTTGACGGAACAGATTTCTTAAAAGCCAGTGGCTCGAGTGAGGCAGTGCATGAGGAATTCCCAACTACGGGTTCTGGGTTCAAATTCCCATGGTTGAAATGTCCACTTTGGTGGGGGACCATGAGCATGGCAGGGAAACAGAGTCTAGGGGAATCTCTTTACATTCCAGCCAACATTGCTACAAACTGAAAACTGCTGTTTTCTATATCCGAAGTCTATTTTTTAAAATATTCTAAGCGGGGCATGATTGTAAGGAAGGCAGAGACAAGAGGGGTGGCGATTTCAAAGCTGGAGACTGACCCAGTACCTTACCAAGGGCTCACCATTTCCTTGTAAGGTAGAGATGAACACAGGAAGAAAATAAGGTCAGTATGGGCACTCAGTAAGGTTAGCATCCAAACAGCTCTGAGCACAGTGCCTGGCAGCGTGCACAAAACTAGTATGATGGTCTGTGCTTGTAATCCCAGGCTCAGGAGGTGAAGGCAGAAAGGTCAGAAGGTCAAGGTCATTGTTAAGGTTCAGATAGCCCTGCCCCCTCACCAACAGGATCCCAAGGACGTCTCATGCTCCTGAGAAAGGGGAACCTAGCTGATAAGCACCTTGGTCTTTGATGTCAAGAGAAGCAGACTTTTCTCCACTGTTTGGCCAACACAGCTGGCTTCCCCTGTGATCTCTATAGGACAGGTTTTAACAGTCCTGCTCTCCCATTCCCCCTCCCACCCCGCCCAACTTTTGAAAAAAAAAAATACATCTTAAAAAAAAAATACATCTTCCCGCCTTCTGCAGGAAGCAGAAGCCTCCCTTTTTAAAAGACCCCAGCTCAAGACCCAGGCAGACGTTTTCCCTGCCCGGAAGGGAATCTGTCCCATGTGTTCCTTTGCTAATAAACCCTATTTTGATGGAGTTTTAGCTGTGTCTCGGTGCCTCATCATCCATTCGCTCTTTCTCCGCCAACTTTTTACCTATCAGTCATCCTCAGCTGCATAGAGCTAGTCTGGGCCATATGAGACCCTGTGTCAAAAAAGAGGCTGGAGGTTGGGGATGGACGGGGTTGGGGATGGATGGGGTAGGGATGGTGTGAGGGGTGCTCCAAGCTTGGCTCTATGTTTGCTTGATGATGTCATCTGAGCCCGTATCTTTCCCGCAGCTTCCTGGGCTGCCCTCGCTCACCGTGCCAGTTGTGTTCCTGAGCAGGGTCCTCATCACTCCAAGATGGCAACCATAACTCCAGACCTCAGACAGGACCCAGTTCAAATACTGTCTCTCCCACCTTCCACTAGGGGCTAGCCACCCCCCTAAATTGAGCTGGCCCAAGACAGTAGGCAAACCCTGGTTGATCTAGGCTCCTCAGGGTTTATTTACCCCTGAAAGGATGTGGAGACCATGCCCGTGCCCTGCTCTCAGTTTGGTGGATTTGAGGCTTGGCCTTGCTCGAGTGATCCCATGTTATAGAGCAGAAGCTGGCTATATTTTGAGCAAATGCTGAGGCAGGATGACAGGATCTTACTAAGCACACAGACACCACCTGTTTAGCATGAACTATGAGGCACAGGATGTTAAACACCATATTCACTGAAGCCAGAGAGTGCTGAATAGGAACTTGTGAAAGTAAGTCAGGAGTGCTTGGGAGTATCAGCGCATTGACAGCACCTCAGAGGGGCTGGGGATGTAGCTCAGTGTGTAGACTGCTTGCCAGCATGTATGAAGGCCTGGGTTCAATCCTCCCCACCAAATAAAACTGGGCTTGGTAGTATATACCTACAATCCCAGAACTTAGGAGGTAGAACAGGAAGATCAGAAGTTCAAGGTCATCCTTGACTATTTACTGAGTTAAGGCTAGCCTGGGCTAGAGACTCTGCCTCTAAAGAAAACCAAAAGAAAAACCAGGTCCATGAGTTTATGGCACACCAGACCTAGGAAGGATGCAACACCCTCACCTGGATCCCATAAAAGGAGGGCCACCTGCCTCATCTGGCCCCCCAGGTGGGTGAGTCAAAGGACCCACAGGCAGAGAACCTGAGTTGCTATCAGTTCCTTGTCCTATGTCTGCCTCGACTTGCCTTGACCAGCTCTGCTGCTCTGCTGGCCTCCAGCCACTCTCCCACTGTGTTCTTAACATCTTATTCACCCACCTGCATGACTCTTACCTCTGCTTCCAGTAAGGCCTCTCGGACCCCTGCAGCCTCTTTAACCCCCTTTTCAGCCATTCTTTACCCTGGGTGAAGTGTGGATTGTGGTCTGGGAGTTAGTATTAATACCTAAGATTGGCATAAAAGAACCTGATTGCCAACAGCCCTGCTCCCAAGGGCAACTGGGATTACTTGGTAAATTGTGGCCAAGAAAATCAGCAGACACTGATGTCACTCATGAATTATATGTAGCCTGTGAATTTATTGTTATCCAGTGGGTTCTGGATTATGGAAAGACACAGAAACTATGTTTCTGACATAGTTCATTCACAACAGATGTGACTGTTAATGTCCCAGAGGATGAGTGGCTGATAGCATCAGGATATTGGAGGCCGGTGAGAGAGTGGCCAGTCCAGGCTGAGGATTGAGATGTGCCAATGGATAAGATAGGGCCGGGGCAGAGCTGTGCTCCGACCACCCTACCCCTGTGACCATCTGGTCACCTAGTACAGGCCTGGTATCTTGTAGGTAAGAAACAGGACTCAGGACCAAGACAGGCAGGCAGGGTCTCAGGCAGCCAGGACTATGGACCCCAAGGCAAGAGGAGATCTTCCTGCTTACAGATTACAATAATAATTCCTATTATTGGAATTAGGTAAGAGGCAGAAAGGAAGGAGAGACTCCCAGGGGATATTGTTCTCCATCCACATCTCCTTCCAGCACCTGAATCAATGAGGGGGCAGGAGGAAGTAGCGTTCAGGCTTCCTGATCCCTCTAGCGCAGTTCTACCATGGGTCACCCCATCGGGGAGGACAGGCAGGCGCTGAACACCTGACCTCAAACATCCACGACACCCACTTTCTCACTTCCCCAGACACTGGCGCTGTTACCTGTTCTGTAGAAACAAAGACTTCAGGAATGAATCACCTGCTGATAAGTGCCAAGGCTGGAGTTCGAACCCAGAGCCCTCTGGCTGCAGGGCCCTGTCCCACCCTGACTCCCACACTCTTTACTGGGACAGCTTCTGACTCAGCCCAGATAGCCCTACAGGGGATTAGCCATGCCCAGGGACCGGGCAGTGGGCGTGGGGTGGAGCAATGCTAGGGACCAGGGAAACCGGCGATAATCCCATGGATGACAATAGTGACACTCAAGCCAAGCCTAGTGGTACAGGGTACTGAGAAGACAGAGGTAGGAGATTTCCAAGTTCACAGCCAGTTTGGGCTGCAGAGTGAGTTCAGAGCCAGACTGGGAAATTTAGTGAGGCCCTGCTTCAAAATAAAACCTTCGGAGGTTGAAGAGACAGCTCAGCCGTTAAGAGCGCTTGCTGCACAGTCATAAAGACCAGAGACAGGATCCCAGAAACCACACGGCAGGCATCATATCCTATGCATCTGTAACCCCGGCTCCAAGGACAGTGGAGACAGGAAGATCACTGAGGCTTGCTGACTCCCAGCCTAGCTGAGAAAACACAAGAAACCCAGATTCAGGGAGAGACCCTTCCTCAAAGGAATAGGTGAAGAGTAATAGAGAAATGCTCCAGAATCCAGGGCTGGAGCAATGGCTCAGTGGTTAAGAGCACTTGACTGCTCTTGCAGAGGACCCGGGTTTGAATCCTAGCACTCACATAGTGGCTAACAACTATCTGTAACTCTATTTCCAGGGGTTCCAACGCCCTCTTCTGACCTCTGCAGACATTGCACAACATGGGTGCACTTATATAGATGCAAGCAATACACTCATACACATAAAATAAAAATAATGAATAAGCCGGGCATGGTGGCACAGACCTTTAATCCCAGCACTCGGGAGGCAGAGGCAGGCAGATCTCTGTGAGTTCAAGGCCAGCCTGGTCTACATAGTGAGTTCCAGAACAGCTGGGGCTACAGGGAGACCCTGCCTCAAAAAGACAAAAAAAAATTAAAAATTAAAAAAAATATTTTTTAGAAGACCCCAGAATCCTTCTGGCCTCTGTGCAAATGCACAGGCATTCAAACATATGCATACACAAATAAATCAATTAGTAAACACATAAGTCTTTTTAAAAATTAAAATAAAAACTCCAAAGAACTGGGGCTGGGGCTCAGTGGTAGAGTGCTTACTTAATATGAGGTCCTGGGTTCCACCCCCAGTACCACCAAAAAAGTGGGTAGAGCATTCAAATGGGGCTCAGAAAGAACCCTACTTTAGGCCTCTTCCCACCCCTTGGCTGATGCAATCCTCAGGTCTTGGGGACTCAGGGCTCTGCCTCCAAAGATCAAC